AGAAGAAGAAGAAGAAGAAGAAGAAGAAGAAGAAGAAGAAGAAGAAGAAGAAGAAGAAGAAGAAGAAGAAGAAGAAGAAGAAGAAGAAGAAGAAGAAGGTGGTTTCTCGTCCGTCCGCCGGAGGCCGGTCCAAAGACAATTTTGACAGGGTCCTCAGCCCGGGCCCTGGCGCCTGCTGCTGCCCCCTTCCCCTTGCTACGTAAACACCCCCATTCCGGGAAGCGGCCGCGGGGCTTCAAGGTGAGGCTGCCTGGAGAGCCTCCTGCAAGAGCCTCCGCCTGGAGCGCATGGAACCTCTGTCCTGGAGCAGCTGAGCCGAGCCTTGGATAGCGCCTTCTGAGAAGAGCCTCCTGTCCTGGTGGTGTGAGCCTCAGCCCCAGTGAACACGACCTACCTGGAGGAGCCCCTGTCCTGGAGCCGACCCCCAGTGGGCCCCGCGGGCGTCTGGAGCAGGGGAGCAGGAGGGGTCCCCCCGGACCCCCGCACAACGGCTTCTGCTAAATTAATTCCATATCGCGATGGGGCGCGAGGCACACGGCGCTCCGCGGCGCCGCGCACACAGATGTCACCTCGTCTCGCGTGCCACTGGAGGAGGAGGAGGAGGGCTACACTGCTCACGGCGTTATTAGGTCGATTGCGGGCGAGACCTGAGTTCTGTACCTGAGTTCGTGAATGACAGTCCCATATTATCAATCGGAACGACGTCGCCAAACAAAAGTCAAGTGGGGGCGGAAGAATGTCTCTCGAGGTATGCACAAAAATATCACTTTGCAAAAAGTGGCAGATTGAAAAATATTCGAAATTTTTTTGAGAATTTTGATGTTATTTTTCCATACTTTGTGATTGACACTTGTAGCTCAGATGAGTTTTCATTAGTAATCCCTTTCAAATAACAAGAAACAACAAAAACAAAGAGAATAGCAAACTCCCTAGTGTTAGGGTCTTCGAAGCAGCCGAATAATAATAGTACGTACCTAGTTAGAACGCGGCGATCATCCTGCGGGCCCCGCTACCCCACCCTCTCTGGGTCACAGCCCCTCCGGGCTCCTCCGGGGCCGGAGCCCACCGGGGGCGGGCCGCTTATCGGTGACCAAGGGGGCGTGTCAGGGGGCAAGGGTCGTGTCGTCCCCGTCACCGTGGCGGGGGCGGCGGGGGCGGGGAAGGAGGAAGCGAACCATCCGTAGGGTTTCCCCGTCCTTGTCCCTCCCGCGCGCCCACCCGGGCACGTTCGTGAGTGCGAGAGAGGGAGAGAAAGAGAGAGAGAGAGAGAGAGAGAGAGGAGAGAGGGGGAAGGAGAGACGTCGGAAAGAATCGCGTCATCTTCAGCAAACTGCATAGTGGTGGGGGCGGGCGCTGCCGAGTCCTTGACCCAGCCGTCCATACTGCGCTCCCCGCGCGCCAAACACAAAATAACTCATCACTCTTAAATTTCCCGTTACCCTACTTGCGCCCCGGCGGCCGCCCAATCGCTCGCTATTTGTGACGCTGCCGCCGCCTCCCCCGCTCATCAGCAGGAGAAAGGCCCTCTCCCTCCCTCTCTCTCTGATCTCTCTGCTGTTGTCCTCCTCCGGAAAGGGGGCGCGATGCGGGGAATTTTTCCGGGCGGCCGAAAGTAATTAATCGAGACGGGCGGGGAGGCCCTGCGCCCGCCGCGTTTTTACAGCCGCCCCCTTCGGACTTGTCATAAACGTTGAGGTCCAGCCCAGCTAGCAGCGCCCGCGTCGCCGCGCGCGCGCCACCCCTATTGACAGGCCGACGCGGGGGAGGTCGGCATGCCTGGAGCAGAGTAGAGAGAATAAGGGGCATATCCCATCCCCACGACCCTCTCGACCCCCACGACAGATACGAGCCCGAGCGACGACGATGCGACTTCGAGACGACTTATATTATTGACGTCCAGTAAGAGCGGGGCAGGGCAGGGCAAGCCGATGTGGTGAACGGACGGCAGCGAGCCAAAGGAGCTGCCGAGCCGTTCAGAGAGATAGAGACTGCATCGGGGATGCGCCCGCCCGAGTCCACTCTAGGGTATCACCGAAATAAAGGGTTTGTGCTTGCTTTGTTTCACGTCTCCGTCTGTTACGACACATGACCTTTGGTTCAAGGAAGATATCGATGCATGACGCAGACATGCGGGCTCGCAGGAGGGACGCCGGAAGAGGCAATTTAGCATTGAAAATCATAGAACAAATCACAGAATTCAATTTGGGGAGATTTATTGGCAAATTAAGCTGGGTGGCCGTTTTCGATACGTTTGAGCGAATGGGTATGCTGGCCCGCATGCAGTCGCGCGGCCGGGTTTGCCTATCGAATCTAACCACGGCGTATTGGGGCCCCGTGCGAATATAGGCAACCTGTCCGCACTCCTAGGAGCCCGGCTAGTACACCCATTCGCTCTACCGAGGCGGCCAACCAGTAGAAGCAATTGTTTTTGAAATGAAAAATAAAATAAATTCATATATGCTTTAAAATTTGTTTACGAAAACCAAAATACTGTACTTTGCCTCTTTGCCTACTTTGTGCCACAAAACTGCGATAACTTTTTCGCAGATGAGAAATAAATTTGCCGACCCATTATCTGTTCCATAAGGATTTTACGATGGGTACTGTACAAACGTTCTTTCTATGATCCGCACCGCGCCACGCCACGGCACGCCACCCGCGCTCAGCCCCGCTAGAGTCCTACAGTTACCAGAGAAGCCGCACCTCAGGAATGCTACGCGTAATTTCTCATGATCCGCCATCTTCCTCGCGAGGAACATGGCGGGCGCGCCATCTTCCTCGCGCGCCGCAGTGGCTGCACCGCGCTGCATGCTTCTTCGTTAGTTTTTCCCTAGCTCTTAAATCGTTCATTTTAAACGGGTGGTATAAGCGAGCCGATTTTAGTTCAAAGAATAAGCTATCCAGCTACATAAGTATTTATTTGCTGGGACCGACGCAGCTAAATCAGGAGTAAAAACCACATCGGCGGCTGCATCCTTAGTTTCAAACTGAAGCGGCGTGGGCGCGCTCGGCTAGCAGCCGACGCGAGGAAGATGGCGGAGGATGAGGAATTGTGCGGGCGGGGGCCTGGACGGAGGTCCGGCTTCTCTGGCAACTGTAGGACTCTAAGCCCCGCCGCGCTTCTCGGCGGCCCCGGCCGGCTCGGACTTTAGCTGGAGGTTGTTTTCAGCCTTGACACGGTCGATAGTCGCGCGCGGAGCAGAGCGTGGCAGAGCGTTTACTGAACATTACTTCCTGATAGGCAGCTTGTTGATGCGGCCACCTGGGCGGCGCGCGCGCGCGCGCGTACTCACACACACACACACACACACACACTCACACACTCCCCCCTGCAGCGCCCCCTCTGCGCGCAGACTTATTTCGGTTGCGATTGCCTGCCCTGCGTTGATAGCTGTGATGGCTGGCAGACGCTTTTGCCGGGACTTATCCCCTGACGCATCGAGGGCCTTCCCTCTCACCACCGCCGCGCGCTCTGCCGCTCTGCCGCGCTGCTGCTGCTTCCTCTGACGCCCATCACCCCCGCCAGCCACCACCACCTCCATCACCTCCACCACCACCACGACCACCATAAACATGAAAAATAAAAAGCAAGTCTACAATAATCGACCATACGTTATAGTTTTGTCGCTCTAAGGCGGCGGCCGGTGCCTTTATGCTCCTCAGGGAACGCTGGCACGCAGGAGGGCGGTTCGCTATTCTCGGGCATTTTATTGGCCGGTTCCCCCGGCCTGTCAACACAACGCAGCGGTCTCGAGTGGTCTCGGATGAGCTGCGCCCCCAGGGAAGGCCCAACAGCAGCAGCACCAGCCCACCAAACCAGTGTATGTGTGTGTGTGTGTGTGTGGCGCTCCGCCAGAAGAAAAACATCTCTCTTGTTTTCATTGCGTTTCATCTTGCAGTTCACCCCGCGGGTCTGCGGCGCGCGCGAGGCCCTCGCGGGGAGGGGCGCTGAAAAGTCCATCAACGTTGGATCTAAAAAGATCGCGAGCGGGCGCGGCGGCTGCGTCTTGTGACGTAACGGCAACTTACACGCACCACGCGTATCGCCCGTTGTTGTTGTTGTTGTTGTTGTTGTTGTTGTTGTTGTTGTTGTTGTTGTCTGTGATGGAAACCTCCCCCGGCCGGACGACGCCACCGCCACGCGCCGCCACGCCCCACTGCTTTGTAGCAGGGTCGCAACAGAACAACCAAACCCCTTTCTCAACCTCCGCGCCCCGCGCCCCCGGCCCCCGGCCCCCGGCCCTGCCTGCTGCCCCTTTGCTCCAGAACAGCAGCCCAGCACTTCCACTTGAGAGGGAACTGCCCAGACGGACCTTTACTCCAATCCGATGCGATGGCCGAGGCCGGGGCCGGGGCCGTGCGGGGGCGGTGGGGGCGGCTGGGGCGCCAGCGGCCCTCGGCTATAAACGGGTGCCTTGCGGTGCCCCGCTCCCGCTCGCGCGCTTGCCCGCTTGCCCGCGGCTCTCCCTTGCCGCTGCTTGCTCCAGGTCCGCCCCCGCCCCCGAACCCCCTTTTCATTCCTCTTCTTTTCCCCCGCCCATTCTCTCTACTTCTACGCGTGCTCGCGGGGCGCAGTAGTACCAAACCCGTTCACCCCCCCCCCTCTTTCCCCTTCCGCTGCCAAACGGCAAGAACTTATTTGCAGACCTTTGAGCCGACCTTCACATAACTCGCAGGAAAAAACCCGCGTGCGAGCTGCAGGGGAGGGAGGCAGTATGCCTTTTATCATTGTTTTATTGTCATCATTTCTATTATCCTGGCCCCCAGCTATGGCCGTCTGCCACAACAGCCCCCCGCCCTCTCTCCTTGCTATATTTTTCTACACATTCAAATGGTTGAGAAACCTCCCTTTGATTTAAGTTCCGGTCTTGCAATGATAGAAAGCGACGTAAAATTGTTTAGCAAGACTGCAGGACAAGCCGACATGCCCATAGCACGGCAGCGCGCGCACACCCTGGCGGCGGACATTGCAACCATTCAGTCAGTTCCGTTGTCCCGTGCCTGCGACAGGTTCTGGAAGGAAGGTATGTGCTCCGTGCTTTCGTGCTTTAAATGTTTAATTCTGCTTTTGTTTTATCTTTGCTCACGTTTCTGTCTTTCTGATTGAATCTCCAGTGACTATCTTTGATTGAGAGCGTTGCGCCAAGTGAGCAGTGAGGTGGGTTGCGAAAGCAACTTCCGCGATTCAACTGCATGGTCAACGTCTCCAGGCAGCTAGGACAAGTTTTCGGCTGGCAACTGTTCAACTCGAGTGGATTTCAGCAGAAAGTAAGTTTATCGCCGCCTGGAAGTACGTCGACAATACTTGGGATGCGTTGTCATGTTCACAAGTTTTGTCGAGGTCCATGTAGGTTAGGTCATGGTCTGGTATGCCCCGTGCGTCTGTTACGACACATGACCTTTGGTTCAAGGAAGATATCGATGCATGACGCAGACATGCGGGCTCGCAGGAGGGACGCCGGAAGAGGCAATTTAGCATTGAAAATCATAGAACAAATCACAGAATTCAATTTGGGGAGATTTATTGGCAAATTAAGCTGGGTGGCCGTTTTCGATACGTTTGAGCGAATGGGTATGCTGGCCCGCATGCAGTCGCGCAGCCGGGTTTGCCTATCGAATCTAACCACGGCGTCTTGGGGCCCCGTGCGAATATAGGCAACCTGTCCGCACTCCTAGGAGCCCGGCTAGTACACCCATTCACTCCACCGAGGCGGCCAACCAGTAGAAG